CCCCTTGGACCTGTTCAATTGTGGCGGCTGGCACCCCACAGGGGCCCAGGATGAGAGGAGAGCCAGTCATCTTCAGGGGGTGGGGGGAGAAGGAAGGAGGCCACCCCCCACCCCATTGCCCACACCCTCCATTCGGTCCCTTGCCCCATCCACCTGCACGCCGACTTCCTTCGGGTGGGCCTTCATGGCCTCCAGCGCGGCCAGGGCCCCGCCTCCCTCCACGATGACACGGCTGTGGGCCGGCTTGCGTAGGGCCAGGACGCAGAGGGCCGCACAGCTCTGCTCACACACCTGGGGGCGGTCACAGGGTGCTGGGAACGGAGGCAGCAGGCAGGGAGACCCCTCCCATCCCCAGCAGGGCCACTGTCAGCTCGGTTGGTCAGAGAGCCACGACAGGAAGACACCCGGTAATCAGGGCTGACCAGGGCCACCCACCTGGGTAGGGCAGACGGACTCACTCCAGGCATCCCGGGGCCCTGGCTCTCCCCACCCAAGAGACTTCTGGCCTCCACCTAGCCCTGGCTGAGGGAGAGGGCGGAGCACCAGGCAGACGCAGACATGAGGGGACCTCCGCCCCCCTGAGGCGTGCACCTGGGGGCTGGCCAGGTGCCGGGTCATGGCTGCCACAATGGACTCGGCTCCACCAGCATGGACGATGGCATCCTTCACGTCATCGTTGCCCGCAATGGCACGCATGGCGCTCAGCACCTGCTTCACGAGGTCCTGTGGCGAGACAGAGCCGTCAGCTGCGGACCCTCCCCTGGCCACTGCACTGTGGGGTCTCTGCTCTGAACCCGCCACACAGGGGTCAGGTCTGGCCTGTGTGGCTGGCTGAGAGGAAGGGGCCCAGGAGATGGGGGTGGGTCTAGACCCCTAGCTTTCTGGGCTGTGCCGGGCTGCTCAGTTCTTACTAGATGAGAGAGGAATGGGTTAAGTCCCTGTCCTCCTTTACGGATGGAGAAACTGAGGCTGGGGGAGCTGGGCGTGGCCTCCCTCCCAACCATCTGGAGCCCAAGCTGAGGCCCAGGGTTCAGAGTTTGCACTGGCTTAGACTCAGGCAGGGTTCAACCAGGGTTGGGGAAAACAACAGAAAGAACCTGGGTGGTGTTTTAGTGCCCACCTGGTTGTGGGTGCCATCATCCAGCAGGGCTACCAGGACACCCAGGCCCCCGAGGTCCACAATCTCCTGGCAGAACTCATTGCGGACGGCCAGGCGAGACAGGGTACTGCAGAGCTCACCCAGGACGCCGGGGTTGTCAGGAAACGCTGCAGGGGTGAGGCACAGCGGGGCGTGAAGGGAGAGAACACACATGGGAGGCCTTGGGGAGGCCCTAGGGGGATGTTGAGGGTATCTGGGAGACCTGGGAGGAGGATGATTGAGGGGGGCGCTGGCCACCACATGCCTCCCATGTGGACCTTGGGGACGGATCCCATGTCCTTGGGCAGGGGACAGGGTGAGGGGTTGCAGCTGTTCCAGGGTGCCCAGCCCCTCTGCCTCAAGGGGCACTTGTACCCAAAGGCCCATTAGCACTGGGGGCTGTGCCTAAAGAGACTGTTCAGGGGCCAGCCCTGGTGCCCACCCGGGGCCTTGGCCTGCAGTGCCCCCTGCTGGCTGCTTGGGAGGGGGCGAGGGCTGCCCCTAGCACCACAAAGGAATCCCAGACCCAAGACGGTCCCACCTAGAAAAACAGCCAGCAAAATACGCAAAGAAACCGCCCAAGACAGGTGTATGATCTTTGGGTGGGGAAGACCTTTCTAAGTGTGACACAGCGCCGGACACCCTGGAGGGAGACATGGACACAGTGGAGCCAGAGCCCACAAGTCAGTTACACGTCAACTGTTACTCCCTGAGAACGCAGTGCAGCGGCAATCTGCAGATGTGGCTACTGCACACGGCCCACGAGACCACCCTCTCTGAATCTGATGGGCCTCATCTGTCCACCTAGGGCAGTGGTTCTCAACCTTTCTAATGCCTCCACCCTTTCATACAGTTCCTTATGTTGTGGAGACGCCCCAACCATAAAACTATTTTCGTTGCTACTTCATCACTGTCATTTTG